CATTCGGGAGCCGTGCCTGGTACCTCAGATTTGGCTGAATTGAATCAGGGACAGTGATTTGAATCAATAAATTGAATCACCGTCCCCAGTTCGGGCTGAATCCAAATTGAATATGGCCCATTTCGCACACCCCTAGCTGTTGTGTTGCCTGTGTTTTTTCTGCTGGGCTGTAGCTGACCATCCTTTAGGGAGGCACAGTTTTTGTTCTCTGGCATATTAATCTGTGTGTTTAGATACCATTTTGTCTGTGTGAGGGTGTAATGCAATGATCTAATATTGCTTTGTAGACAAGAGGGGATTTCTATTTTGCCTGTGCCATCAGTCCCTGGGGCTGTCTTTACTACTGACTCTGCCATCTCATTTTTTGCAGCTACCCAGAGAAAGCCAGATTCCCATTTTGTGTTTGATTTCTGCAAAGTACTGTGCCCACTGTCTGAGGCATGCTATACCTTTACAAAAGGTGTTTTTAGTCCTTGCTTGAAAGTCCTGCAAAGAGTTTACCCATAAGAAGAAATGGGAGGTCTACTGTGACTATGTAGTTCCTGTTCATTAAAGAGTGAATGGATTTGTTCCAACCTTTTCTAGGTACACTTTAAATTTCATGAGTCCCCTTTGACATTTAAAATACCATTTCCAGGCCTTCCCCTGTTCCACATATATTCTCAATTTGACAGTTATGCCTGGCCAGTATATATTCACTGTTCTTCTGTGGCAGTCTACAGGTTTGATGCTTGTATCCATTTCGACATGTGAGCTCTTAAATCTGCATTCCCTGCACCTCAGAGAGAAGATAAAGGTAACATATTGATAGGCTATTTCCTGTTCCACATAGCTATCCGTCTTGTGCTTTGGAAAGTATGCCTTGCTCTGTACGTATGCCAAAAGTAGAGTACTTTATCTTCATCTCAAAGTGGTGGCAACTCGGTTAACGAAGGTTCACATTTAGCTGAATGGCTTGTCTAACCTCATATGAATGGATACTTTTGTCTTGGTTAAATCTGATAGGGCAGTTTAGGTCTGTGCAGATCCTCAGATTGCCAGGAGTTTTTCTGATCTCTTTTGAGGATGTTGATCCACTTTGTGCTAGTTTAAATAGGTGTAATAATGCCTGTTCCTTGCAGGTTTGCCAATTTGTACTTTAGTAACTCTGCCACAGCTCACTGGAACTTCGCCTTTTTGGGCTACACATGTGGATCTCTTCAACTAGCTCGCTGGGTGGCTTTCTTGAAATATATTATGAGTGTTTGCTAGACAGAACTCATAGCGGCTGTTCTTGCTCTTCTATCATGTTGTGCATATCCTGGTGATGTACTGTGATTAAATTCATGGCTTGTACTTCTCTGTTGCTCAGAAGTGGTGGGTGGTGCCCTTGTGTGTCAACTGTAATAAAGTCCAGTTGATAATATCTCTTGTTATGTGCATTTCTTGCCTACAGTCAACATTTGCCACCTGGTCTCAGGGTTGTTTTACTGTATATCACCAGCACCTGGTCATTTCCCCCACACCTCCGCCATCTAATACTGCTGATTATCATTGTTACTGGGATTGCATTACTGTCTCCATAATCCAGATGGAATCAAACTGGCAGTTGATCTAATAGCATAGTTGCAAATATGGCAGTTGAACAGCTGTCAGCCTTCTCGTGCAGTCCTTGTATATTGAGTCATTGAATTTCTTAAAGTCACATTGTAAATACCATCCTGTAACAGAGGCCTCAGCCCCTGTCACTTTGAGAGGGGAGAGCTGCTGGCTGCTGCAGCAAAGGAAGGCAGACTGGCCATCAATCGCAAGTGGGAACCCCTGTGTGTAGGTGGGGAGCCACATGACAGGAAGGGGTGTGGCTTCAGTGCATATAATCCCCATGCCTAAACCCAAACAGGCAGTCTGCATTTGCTCACTGCAAGGAGAGCAGTTCCTAGGAGAGAAGGGCAGCTTGAGGCAAGACAGGTAGGGGAACTGGGATGAGAGTGATTCAAGGGATGTATGGCCTGTGACCAATGCTAACCTGAGTGAGGGAGACTTTTTATTTTGAAGTGGCTTGCTTGGGCTTATGTTCTGTTTTGAGCTTGATACTGGAGGGCTGGATTATGGCTACAGGAGAGGCGTGGAGGGCATGGAGCGGTGCCTGGTGGGGCACTCTGCAATAGGCAGCCTAGTCTAGGCTCAGGAACCCTGAGGGTGGAGGATGAGCCCAGAGTGCATGAGAAAGGGGCCTGGTGCATGATGGGGCTAGGGTCCAGGAGCCAAGGTCTGGGGGACTGAACCTGAGCGGAGGGGTTCAGCCAGAATAAAAGGGTCAAGGCTGGGAAGCCCGAGGCCTGGACAGAGGTTCTAGGCCTGAAGGCCAAAAGCTGTGTTGAGGCCATGAGCCCCCTTCAATGAACATGGAGTAACATCTTCAAGGCATTGATATGGCTTCAGGGAAGGGAGGCAGCCATGAATATAGCCCATAAGGCAATTGGTGCCCTGAGGCACAGATAGGGCCAGAGGGCCATAACCTATTACCTGGGGGCAAGATTGGGGGCCAGCTGGGTACAAAAGGTACCAGCCAGCCAAGGTGGACAATGGCCCATTCAAGAAGCCTGCCTTAACAACAAAATAGTTCCATCAAGGTGTGGCAGGTGAGGAAAAGGGAGGAGACACCAAGATGCTGGAGCAGGGAAGCAGGAGTCATGTAGCCACCAGGTGGTTTTATGGCTGTGCCTGGCGCATGATCCTGCTACGTTTCATCTTCAATAAAAGCTCCTATTTCTCAGTCAATGTATATACAGGTGCATTTGGTTTCTGGTTACATCATTGGGACATAACAGCCCCGATCTAATGGACTCATTGAAATTGCATACCTTTGTACCATTGCTCACAAACCAGATTCTTTTCTTTCAGTGGTTTGTGCTACTTTTTACAGTCTGTCTTTACTCTGCTTTGTGGCTTTCCATAGCTTATTCTATACTAGTAACTGATAGGACTACTTCTCTTAATAGTCTCTTGGGTAAGCTGGAATCATCATTCCCACAAATGATCCTGTCTTTACTTATCTAATTAGAATCTAATTTATCCAAAGTTGCAGGTGAAAGACAGAGTTTTCACCTCTTTGCTATAACTACCCTTTCTTGCTCCTGCTTCTTGGTTTCAGGTGAAAAAAAAATCCCTGCCCAGAGCCTTATCTTGTCTGGCATCACAGCACTTGCCAGACACCTTTATCAGTTATTTTGGGCAATAATCCTTGAAACAGTATCTCACTCATATCTTCATCATATATTATATGTGTGTCTCACTTAAAGTGAAGTGTTCCTTCAACATCTGACTTTAGTAACACTGCCCAGGCCTCAGTGAGGACTGAAATTTCTCTTGCTGAAACTAATACCAACTTTCACATTTTAGAGAGACTTCATTAAAACTTGTCTTATCTACTTAATTAAAGGCAAACCTCTTTATATAGACAGACAAACAAATTAACACAATATGCCTCAGCTTCTCCTGGGGAAAAGGAAAGTACTTATCTTCAGAACACTAATTGCTGCAGTTAGGGTTTTGTTAAAAATAAATTGATACTTGCTCAGAGTACAGATGTGACAGATGCAAAAGATGGGTAAATAGAACAACATTCCAATACTCAAATGAAACACAGTATTTAAATGTTAATGCATTGTTATTATAATGAGGGGGGAAATATTTATTTTGCAGACGAGTCCCAACAAATTGAAGTCTTTCCATGGGATTCCAGTGATTTGATAATCCACCACATCCCAAAAGGATTTTCTAAAAATCTATTTCTATTAAAAAGGACTGTAGAAACATGTACAATAACCGAGGTTGTTCATTTCTGTTACACAATCAGGATGTGTACTGCACTACACTAAATAATGTGCATAAACATACATAGTAAATTGGATCTCACCATAATATGTATGCAGGAATTTTGAACATGCTGATTAGCAGCATAACGCATGAAACCCAAACACATCATTTTACATTCCATAGAATATGAATTAAATCAGTGTATTCCTGTTTTCAGTAGTAGCTGTATATTAAACAGACAAACAACAAGAAACCAAATGATAATTTTTTTCAAGCTTCCCTTCCTTGTATAGATGAATGAGTGGCCTACTCCCTACAAATCTATTCGATAATAGTTGAGGCATATGGCTAAAAATATTTAACCATGTACTCACTGAATGTTTTCAATAAACGTGCAGCAATCAATAAGACATAAGCTCTTGCTGGATCTCTGATGCTCAGCCGCAGTGGTTTTTGGGATATTAAGGACTTCTTCTCTGCTGGCCAGCACCACAACTGACTGAGACCTGGGTGTCATTATTGACAACAAAATGAACATGAGCCACCAATGCAGTGCCGTAGCTGGCAGAGCTAACCGAACACTGGCATGCATCCACTGAGGCATCTCAAGCAAGGCAAAGGATGTCATCCTCCCACTTTACTCGACTGTGGTGAGACTGTAATTGGAGTACTGCATCCAGTTCTGGGTGCTGCACTTCAAGAAGGATGTGGAGAAGTTCAAGAGGGTCCAAAGGAGGGCCACATGCATGATTAGAGGTCTGGAGATCAAGACATATGAGGAGAGGCTGAGGATTGGGGATTGTTCAGCTTGGAAAAGAAAAGACTCAGGGGGGACTTGGTTGCAGCTTATAAGTATATTGGGGCATACATCAGGGTTTGGGGGAGCATCTATTTACCAAGGACCCCCAGGGTAGGACAAGAAATAATGGGCACAAGCTGATAGAAGATTGCTTCAGGCTAGACATAAGGAAAAACTTCTTTACAAGGTGAGGGTTTGCAACAGGCTCACCCCAACAGTGAAAGTCTTCTACCTTGGCATCTTTAGAAAACATATTTTGAGGCCCATCTTGCTGGGATCATTTTGATCCCAGCAGTCTTTCCTGCCCATATGCAGGGAAGCTGGACCCGATTATCTGTAAAGTCCCTTCCAGCCCCTAACAACTATGAAACTATGAAGAGAAGACAAGTATAGACATGGCCATTTGAAGAGTCACATATCCTAGTCATACTTTTGTGCTTTTCAGTATGAACTTTTCCTGAATGCTTCTTGGTGAGATAACAAAGTATTAACTTCCTGTCATCCAGGGGATGCTAAGGGGAGAGGATGAGTGGTGTGGTAAGGTCTAGAGAACAGTGTATAGGCAGAGTGAACCCCTGTGGGCTTCTTCAGGTAGGTTTTCACTCCCTGAGCAGTCCCTTGGCCAGCCCTAGCACTAAACAGTCTTTAAACAAACTAAGCAAGTAAATAAAGCCTTGTTGTCTGGTCCTATTTCCTGTCCTAGACACTTGTAGCCTTGGCCTTCACACAATAGACTTGCCTGCCACATATTTCAGCTTACCACTGCTTTTCCCGCACTTTCAATTCTTGTGGCTCTGTTTTCTAGGGCTTTTAACTCTCAGCAGTTTCAAAGCTGCTGCCACTGAGCCAGGCTGGCTAACTTTTTCTTAAGGTGACAGGCCACTGTAGGATCAGTTTATTAGAGTGATTTTTAAAACCAGGAAAGCAGAAATTCCTGGTCCCGGTAGTGTCTCTCAGAATATCACTCGCCCTAAATACAACCCGATGCTGCAGTCATTGGATTTGGTCCAGTTTTTATTGAATTCTGTAGTAGTAACACAGTTATCACATTTACTTGAATCCAAGATGACTTTGAATTTAAGACGATCCCTCAGTATTTAGATTCTATGCATGGAAATGTTTTCATTTGTTGTTGTTTCTAATAAACAGCTCTACTGACAAAAACTAAGAAGTCATACATTCAACAAGTGTTGCCTCAGTCTATATTAGGTCTGTCCAGAAAATCCTAGTGAGTCTTATTACTTTCTTAGATCTACAGCTTATGACTGGCTACTTTCACATGCATCCTAACTCTCATTCTCCTTACTACTCTCTTTATTTTCTTCACTGCTCTTATCTTCTCCCTCATCTTCTCACAAAACATCATCTTCAGTTCCATCCATGGCATTGATTATACAGCACATCCTGAAGACTTTAATAATGGACTCTGAAGATATCCTTCCCTAAGAGTCAGAATCTATTGGCAAAGCAGTGTTACGGCTTCCTACTTAATCTTCGTACCAGGTTTGAGTGCATGGTTTCCTGAAAAGAGCTAGTTTGGCCTTTAAAGGGCTTATTCACTACAATGTCCAGTGCATGGAGTTGAGATGTCATACCTTTTTTGCTTTCACATCTGGTGTTAAATGACCTCTGAATGAATCTAACACTAATGTAATGGATCCCTGCCATGTCTTCTGATTGCAGGTCCAGCATTTTCACCTCATACTCTATTCTAATAATGAGGCTTTGTTTTCCTCATGTTGAAAGGTGGGTGGGGGGCAACCTCATCTTGGAATTGAGTAAATATGGTTTCATAGTTTCTAGGGTCGGAAGGGACCTAAGAAGATCATCTAGTCTGACCCTCTGCCATGGCAGGAAAGAGTACTGGGGTCAAACGACCCCAGCAAGGTGTTCATCTAACCTCTTCTTAAAAACCCCCAGGGTAGGAGCCTGCACCACCTCCCTTGGAAGTTGGTTCCAGACCCTAGCCGCCCTGACCGTGAAATAGCGCCT